TGGGATTGAAAAAATCTTTAACAACAGATAACCTTCATTAAAAAAAAAACAACAACCTGTTTACTAAACTTTCCATTCATAAATAATAATACCATGCTATAGCATAAGTGATTCAAGAATATGTATGCAGTATAACCTAGAGATAAGCAAAACAGGAGAACCGAACTGCTGAATATGAATTACTATTTAATTTTTTTTAATGGATATATCAGAAATGTGGAGTGAACTGTGTAATTCAGCTGTAATTTCAGTCTTTATTTTTGCTTACAACTTGCCTTTTCCTTTCAAAGGATTCAAGGGATTACACTAACCAAAATATTTGTCCTTATACACACTCTGAAATACATCTAAACTACATTTCGTAAGGCAAATAAGAACACTATAGGCTCTGAACAGAGCCACGCTCTTACCTTAGAAAAGGGAAATATTAATAAAAAGAGAAGTAGAAGCCTTTCTTGTGAAATAAGCATGGTTATAATATCAGGGTTAATATAACTGCAGTGAGTATTAAAACATCCTTTGATTCCTGGAACAAGATCAGATTCGTATAATGTTAAACAGTGCCTGCACACTGATGATATATATTTGCAGAACTCCTAGAATGACAATGGAATGCTTGACATTGGTCTCAGTTTTACTGAGTTCATTTTACAGCTAAAGGATTTTTGAAAATGCTTTAATCAATCAGATCATCTTCATAACAAAAATTTCCACTAAATCTGCTAATGGGTTTGTGAAATCTTCACTGTTCTGTTGCAGGGACAAGTCCTAAGATGTTGGGGGAGAAAGGCTGGGTTTTCTGAAGTTTTTCCTATATAGTAGTCATTAGACAGCTCTAAATTTAGATGAAGAACAGACAAATCAGAGTTGATGCAGTACTGATGGAGAAAATGAATGACTGGTCAAAAGCTGAAAGGATCCAGTTGACCTGCTATAAATCCATCCTGGTAGAAAAGCACGTTGCTTGCTTGCTTAAGAGATTCAATAGTATTAATATAGAAGTTCAGTAGGTCACAGAAGTCTCATGCTCTCCTGGAAGGCTTAGAATAGAAGAGAGGGGTAAAGGATTCAAATGCTCCTAATGACAATACTCTCTGCTCTGCAGAGGTCTGGAGAAAACCCATCCCATTCTCTGCTGTCAAATTAGCCACTGTAGCCGTTTTATTTTTCGGTCAAATCTCCTAATTGCTTCAGCAATCATCTTATCTGACGATTGACTCGAGATCAAGGCCTTAACGTAATTTTCTTCTGGTCTAATTTTTTTTTCCAATAGATTACACAATTAGATAGACTATTATACAGATAGAGTTGTGACTAAAATAATCTCAGTTAAAAAAACACCGTACAGTCCAATTGAAACTGAGTAAACAAACCTGCTCTTGTTAGACCTGAGCAGAAGCAAGGGCACAGGTTTGTCACTGGGTGATTAGTATTATAGCCTAAATTTACTCTTGAAGGACTCATTTCTGTTTTCTAAAACTGGTTCTTGTATGAAGAAGCACAAAGGAAAAGGTAAGACCAAGAAGCGACTTTGGAGAACAGTGGTGAGGTTGGACACTAATATTTCCTAATGACCAAACTTGTAGGTTTTGTAAGGCTTTCACTTACTGTCAGTGGGTAAAGTTTATTTCAGCTCTCTAGTAGAAATACTCTAGTTAGGTGAATTCAACCTTGCAGCTGAAGTTGTTTAACTGTGGAAGTGGTATGTATCAGAACTGTCTATTTCGTTTCTTCCCCATCAGAATACATGTAATATAAATCAAACTTTAAAATCACAATTAATTTTAAGGAACAGTCATTATGATGCTTATGAGACCTGTTCAGATAGTATTTCAGTAGCCTCAGAGAAATCTAGTCTACGTTTCTTGAAATAATATTGTGAATGGAGTCCCCATATTGATTTCAAATGAAATCTGTGCATGATTTGGAAAAATCATACTTTCACTTTTTTCAAATTTTTCCTCAAAATCTAGAAAAAGTGGTGAATCTATTTCAGCCATCCATGAGAGAAGGAAAACACTGCTGAATTTTTATGTTTAAACCTGACCATTCCTACCACTTTCTGCAGGACCTCTTCTGTCCTGCTTTTCTCTCACTAGATACATTTCTGTGGTGGCATTAACAAGCTGTGTCTGCTAGAATGAGTCTGCAGAAATTTCTCAATGGCTTTATGCAGTCCTTACTCTTACTGTCAGAGATGGTGAGAAGAAAAAAGATTTCTATCCCTGTCTCAGATGACAAAGCATGGCATTCTGTTACAGGTAGGCAATACTAAATATGGGTAAAAGATGAAAATCTGTGTAACCCTTACTCCAATAAAAAACACTACAAGAAGAAAATTCTATTGATGCAAATCTTTCCTTATGCTTAATTTTAAAATTGTCGTGAATCTGAAGAGCTTTAGCTTTATGAAAAATATTGCTTTTAAAGATGATCTCCAGCCAACACAGGACTTAGTGAGTGCTTGAAACTCTTGGAGGTGAAAAGATACAAAACCAAGTACTGAGTCCAGTAAAGTAAAGCAAAATGGACAGTGAAAAATAATTATTAAACGGAAAACCTACATACTCAAAGTAAGTAAAAATAGGTGTTCTGAAACTCTGAGTAGCTCTGTAATTCAAGACTATTACTGTCTTCCAGGAAAAGTTAGTGAGACTTTTGCTTAGTGTAACATAGCTGCATATACTGCCCAACTCTCCATGAAGAATTGTCTTCCACTTACAGTGACTCAAACAATGAAGACAGTCTGCCTCTTAAAAAAAAGACCTGAAAAACATATGTGTTTTGCAATGTACGAGATGATGAAGCTAGGTTCTAATCACTCCTTTCTTACAATACTACATTTATTTCCAGATTAGTCTCTAATTAAAAATGCAAGAGCATGCAATAGGAAGAGTTGACTTGGGTGTGGCAAGCATCCAGAACTTTGAGGGCATTAAATATCAAAAGCAACTTTGTATCTTCCTTAGAAATGAGGTAGAAGTGCACTACAGACCCGAAGTGTTGTTCATGGTTCAAAAAAACCCAACCAAGTTACTGTCATCTTCAGCAGATAAGCTTGGTCAGAAAATATGGTAATGTCAAGAGCATTTCAGTAGTGTTATAGCTGGTTATTTGCCTTAATAATATATCTGTCTCAGACAAAGGTTCTGAGGTTCCCTCTTTATATTTGTAGCATCAGGTGCTAAAAATGAGGCTTTTCACTATGTAGAGTATGGCTAAGTACTTGTCCTGCGATGTGAAACAATGTATAAAGGACGGAAGAGTTTCATTAATCACTCTTTGGCATTTCCATACTGCTACAGTGTCTAAGAAAGATGAAGCTTCAACAGTTCATTGCTTCCTCTCAACTAGATAAGAATAGAGATGTATGAGTCTCATACACATCAGCCTTCTCTGCTGTATGTATGTACTAACTAACCCAGACTGAGGTTGTAAGAAGCATGAAAATAATCTAAACTGCAGGGTGCCTTGTAGGGAATTACCTTCCATTTCCCCAGTAGCAAGCTGAGAGCCAGAAGAAAGAAATGATAACTGCTAGCATGATAACTCTTTCAGTGGATAGTTCCTAGGGCTGGGCAACTAGGTGCCACCTCTTATGCAGTGTGAGATGTGAAATATTAATTTATCCCTCAGGATATATGAACTCAAGAGAAAGCTGAGGACAGGTGAAAATGTAACAGTGTGTATTTGTCTAATATATATATGACTGAATTTATGCACCAGAGTGAACAAAGAGATTAATTTTATTAAGCTTTCCAAACACACTAGAGATATAGCAAAATAAAGGAAGCCTCTGTTTGTTTGTCAGATTAATTTCATTTCAGCTATGCATTCTGTTTTTACTACTCAGGCAAGCAAATCCAACTCCTTTATTTTCTTTCTGAAGGAAGTTACAAAAGTCTAAATATCAGTTATCTTTACAGTTCTGCAGTGTTTGACGGTTTGTCGCAGTCTACGAAACCACCATGAGTTGCATCCCATGAACACAGAGTGAGTAACAGTCATTGTCTCAAGTGTGGAATATTTCGAATCTGTAACAAATTCCAGCAATGTTGATTCATTCCCTCTTCTTAATGAGTTCTATTCAGGTTCAAAAGAATGGCAGTATATTGACTATGTAGGGCTAGGACTAATATCAAATACTAAAATACTAATATGAAAAACATGTTACGTTAGATTATACTTTTTAAAAGCTACTTTACTATCCAGAAGTGAAGCACCAACATCATTCACAGGTATAACAAATCTTAAAAAATCCCTGCCTACTGTCGATCTTAAGGCTTTTCAGCCCAAATCTGGAACCAGAACCTGACATTACTGACACAAAACCCAGCTATTAGATCTTCAACCTACTCAAGATAGTAGGATTCTGCTTTGATTCTGGAGAGTATTCCTGCACCGCCTTTAAAAAGCTAAATATTCATAATCTTTTATTTTGACATATTCGTAGTCCTGAATTTTATAAATGCTTGATCCAAAGCCAAAATTAAATGCAATGGTTACAGAAAAATATATTGTAGTGTATTCTTTGGTGCACCTTGATAATAGTGGTATGTGGTAGCAACATTATAGGCAGAACTAGAGGGTTTTTTTCAAAAACAACACACCCAAGTTCTTGATGGCACCATCAAGTACAATTTTGTGGGGGATGATATTTTTCTCCTGTTGCAAGAGTAGCCTTCAACAGCCACTGACTGATTTGTACTCCCAGACAGGCAGAAGTGCTCACAGAAATGTGTTTTCTTGAAATTTTTCTCATCCACTACGCTTTTTCCAACTGCTTCAGAGTCTAGGAGACAAAACCACTAACATCAGAATATTTATTCATGCAGATAAGACCTTATTTCTGAAAGGAAGCAGGAGTCACCTATATTTATAAATGTATATGTATTTTTATATATTCACATATGTATGTATATTTACATATATTTCTGTGTCTTCATATGTAGATTTTGTACATTTACATATAAATATGTATATGAATAGCTGTCAGGGTTGTCAGCCAGCCGCCGGAGCCCGGTGCACCCGGTGGGCCGGCGGGCCCCGGACTCCCTGCAGGGGGGACGCGAGGCGCTGCGCAGGGGCGGGCGGGTCCCCCCGCCGACCCCGAATTGCGGAGCCCTGGCGGGGACGTGTCCGGCTTCCCAAGCGAGCGGCGCGCAGGCGCCCCGCAATTGCCAGCCCCGGTGAGATGCTCTCGGACGTGGGAAGGGGATCGCCCTGCCTTTCCCTGCCTTCTGTTTCCTTTCCGGTCCCTCTGCACCACTTTTCCTCCAGACCCCTGGCTGGGATTCGTTACTATTTTTTTTACCTTGTCGCTATTTTTTTTTTTTAATGTTGTCCCCCCCAGGGGAACACGTTTATAACCCGCTCTCTGTAGCTCCCGCTCCTGCAAATAGCGTTATTGGAACGGAGACCCGCCTGTTGATTATCCCCCACTCCCCTTCTCTGAGCTTCCACCCACCCTTTGCCCCCACCCCACTTCCGTTTGATTCCAAACCTTAGGATGGTGTTTTGGTGTCATTAGGAGATTAACATCCCTGGAGCACCAGGGGAGGAGGAGTAGGAGGAGGAGGAGGGTGGAGGGGAGAGCGAGACAGCAGGCAGGAAGGTTGGCACATTTACACGAGTGAGGCTCTCCTCCCGCCGTCTCAGCCACCCTCGGCTCCTGGGTGGTAGCGGAGGGGGCGTTTGCCGGCGCGGCGGGTTGCGGACGGCGGCTGGGGGGGTGCGCCCGGGACCCGCGCCCGCGGAGCGGAGGACTCCTGAGCGCAGCCTCCCCCTCTTTTATGAGCAGCGAGGCGGCGGAGTGGCAGCGGGGGACACCAGGAGGAGCATTTCTTCCCCCGGGTTTATGAATGGCACTGACATGGAGGAAATACCGTTTCAGAAAGTCAAGACCAAGAGGAAGAAGTGCTGCCACTGCTGCTGCTCCCCGCCAGCTGCTGCGGCGTCGGGAGCAGGAGCCGGGCTGGGGGACCCCCCTCCCTTGGTGCTGCTGGATGCCATCGCCTGCGAGGACGAGTTTGACTGCAAGGAGCTGGAAGCTCTCTTCCAGAGCTACAACCTGAAGCTGGAGCAGACGTCCACCCTCAAGGCGCTGGCCGTCCTCATTGTGCTCACCGCCAGCCTGGCCCTGTTGGAGCTGCTCTCCGGCCCCAGCCTGACTATCTCCAAAGGTTCGCACCCAGTGCACTGCATCATCTTCCTCTCCCTCTTCATCGTCACGAATGTCAAGTACCTGCAGGTCACTCAGCTGCAGCAGATCGTCAAGCTCACCTTGCTCTTCAGCTTCACCTTCTCCTTCCTCTGCTGCCCCTTCTCGCTCGGCGCCTACGGCATGGAGCCTCCCAGCGCCCCCGAGCAGGGCATGTGGCAGCTCATGCTGGTAACCTTCGTGTCCTACTCACTGCTGCCCGTCCGGACTCTGCTGGCCATCGTCTTCGGGCTGGTGGTGTCCGTCTCCCACCTCATCGTTACCGCCACCTCCGTCAGTGCCAAGAGGCAGCGGCTCTGGAGGACGGTGAGAGAGGCCGGGCCGGGCTGGGCGCTGCAGCGCCGCACGGCTGCGGGGTGCCTGCCCGCCGGGGGGAGGGAGGGCAGAGAGACGTGGAGCGGCCCGGGGCGCGGCGGAGGCTGCGCGCCCCTCGCCCCGCGCCCCCAGCCCGGGCGGCGGCCGAGGAGTGCCCGGCGTGTCGCCGGCGGGGAAAGGGCGATCACGCACCTGTGCCTCGGGCGACTGTGTCTATAGTTCCCCAAAGTTTTCGGGAGGCAGGAGGGAAATAGATCAGCTCTGGGGAGACAGAACCTCTAGGCTTTGTCTCTCCAAGGAAAATCGGGAAGAGAGCAGTGGAGCCAGCTATACCGTGCCCACGCTTGGGGCAAGTTCAGAGCACCGCGTGCACAGTCGGTGCAATACAGCTCGTTATCAGTAACACCGCTTGGCTTGGTACAAACTTGGCACAGACAATAAGCTGCGTGCGGTAATAATAATTCCACGGAGTTGGCTCATATCCTTGCTGTCTTTCTCAGCCATGGACCCTTCATGCTGATACACACCCTATCTACGGGGAGGATTTGAAGACACTAGCTGAAATAAGTGGGACACTCACACAGGGAACCCCACATCGCTGCTCTCAGCAAGCGGGGCATTCCCCTTTCAGCTTCCCCAGGGCAGCTGCTGCCTCCTCTCCACAGTCATTACCTGCTATGGCAGTGAACTTCCTAGCTGTTCCCTTTCCCCTCTGAATCAATCCAGCAAAACCTCCCTCTGCAGCAAGTATCTTTGGAAACGTGCTACTGCACTCTCCCCTCCTCCCCCGAGGAGTTATTTATATCCCTGCAGGGCTTTCTCCGGCTCTCGTGGCCTGATGGGCCGCACTGGCAGGGGGAGGAGGATGGGGAGATAAGCGTAAGGGAAACGCTGGGGCTGACAGTCGGAGTTTGCTACTGAATGCTCTGTTATGTGGTGCCTCTGAACCACTGAGAGAGAGAAATTGAAAAATTTTTCTCTCCTTCCTCACATGCATTGATTATGTCTGCCCTCAGGGGAAGCACACAGGTTTTGTGATCCAGATTGTTGTTAAACAACAGTTTAATACATAATTGAAGTACTTAGTACATTACTTCTGCAGAATCCTGGTATTATTCTCCATGACTGTGTAAGGCTGTGTTGTGATGCTAGGGCGCACGCAACTGGCATGGGCACAAACACTGGCATAAGCAACATCGTACACCTTTGTGCCCAGAACTGTGAATTCCTGTCTTCTCCTTCCATGCTCACACAGACACACACCTCAGTGTGACATACATGCACAGAATAGAGATATACAGGGACAATCTCCGAGTTGGGTTACTGAGACAAACAGGATTATTCATGGCTTCACGCTGCTGAGCTGGTGGACAAAATAAATTGTATATTTTGAAGGAGAAGAGAGAGATAAGCCGAGCTTTATGATTTACCCAGATAATCTGATGGTCTATTTTTAAATATGTGATTTAGGGTTTCCATGAGAGGGAGAGCTGATGAAATGCAGGAGCGCTGAGAAAAGCCTTCCTTAAAAGCATTCAAAGGGATGCTAAAAATGCTAGAATATTCTTTTTAAGTAGAGCTGAAGATAGCTCTTTTTACTGCAGTACCAATTAGTCCTTATGGGAGTTCTGGCTATCCTGTCTCCCCTGACACACAGGCAGATTTTCCTTGATGCTGAGCTGCAGCTCAGTGTGGCATCTGCTGTTCTAGATGAATAACATAAAGAAGCTGACAATAATGTCTGCTGACTAAATTGTCTAACCAAGGTCATGAACGTGAAACATTTTGAAGAGAGAAAATCTGCTAACTCTCTCTCTTCACACTAGTTTAATTCAGTTATTCAACAGGTGAGAAGCTGGTTTAAAAATATGTAGAAATAGTTGACTAACATCTGATGTAACATATGTATGTTTCTTCTTCATCACCCTCTCCCTCCACCAGGGTAATTTCAGTGTTTTTTATGCAGTCCCCAGAGCAGTATCCTTTGCTGATAACAGAAGTTAGAAACCAACTCTGAGTCAAGCAAAATAACTGGTCTGTGTCCTTATGGTGCACAGAAATTCACACTGATTTGTGGCATATTTGTAAGGAAAAAGTCTTGTGATTTGAAGACTATCTCTGGGCATGGAAGGGACTCTTCCTTTACACAGAAGTTTTTTTCTTTTCCAAAGAACAATTTCACAATGGTTGGAAATTTAAAGATACATAAAGGCTGCATCATCTGAATTTTTCTTGTTTGACCTGGGAATAGCTGAGCCTTTTTTGTAAAGGCTAGAATCCCTTGCAGTCAGGATCTGCTTCCCAAACACTGGGTATTATCATGTCAAGTCCAGTGCTTGTAGACACAGCATGCAGATGGCCTGTCAAGGAAGTAGGACTGCTCTATGCAGAGTTGCAATAGTGTGAAAGGGCTCTGTTCTTTCTCCCTACCCCTTGCTCCATAGCCCCAAGTAAGTGGATGAATCAAAATTTTCAGATAGAAATCTGCAGTATCCAGAAATGCAGAAGCACCTGCACCAATCACTGAGACCAGTGTTCTGTTAAAAAAACCTATGATTTTTCTGTGGTTCAGGCAACTTGGGAACCAGCTTGAGAACCAATTTTATTTTTGTTTAGCCTGAGCTTTAGGAAAATGTGGATCTAGTAACTTCCACTGAAACTAAACTGGGAGGTAAAGTTGTCAGCAAGACAAAGCACTTCATGTTGTTTCAGGTTCAACCCATTAGGAAACAGGTATAACCAAGTCAAGGGATTTGTTCTGAAATGAGCTTTTGGATGCACATCTATTTCACTCTATCTGAGGAATCCCCATGTGCAAGTCTTTGAATGCCAAATGACTAACTTCGACAGTATTGAATCAGACCCTGAATGGGTCCCATGGCACGCTTAAAACTTGCATCCATATAAATGTATGAACTCTTTGCATAGTAAAACCAATCCTCTATGTGGCAGATGTTTGTCACAAGGTCTATAGAATAAAGAACATTTAATTTGCAAGTGATAGTTTTCCGACAGCACAGTTATCTATGGGTGGTCTGTGGAGATCATGTCATGCCATGCCATGTCATGTCACGTTGGAGTTGAGACATAGGTATGTGTAAAGGCAAGAGGAGAGGAGAAAAACTAGTAAAGGGAGATAATGAGTGTCAGGGGAGTAATGTTACAGAACTTGAGTTTCATCTTTCCACTCAATAGCTGTTTTTTCACCAAATGAAAGATTCTAATCTGCTAATATGTCCTGCTCATTTCTTAAGAGAAATGTAACAATAGATAGTATTTGTGTGTGTATGTGTGTGTGTATATATATATATATATATATATACATATAAAATAAGTGTGATATCAAAAATATGCAAAGTACTTGTGATCAACCTTGATTCCATTTGGAACAAGTTCATGTCAAAAGGCATGCTGACTTCACAGCTGTTTTTACATGTCTTATATGACACTGTGATGAGTATGTAAATGGAGTATATAACCAATATGGCATTGGTCATATTAGTTGGACTCTTTCCCTTCATTAGGAATCATGGAACAAAATACTCCTGCCATAAAACACGACAAGGAATCCACAGATGGCTGAATGTACAAATGAAGTTTTAACAGCTTGGACTCTTGTCTTTTTTTTTCTTTCTTTTTCTTTCCCTTTACAGCTTTCAGATATATGTTAGGTGCTTCAGAGCTGTTACAGAAATACAGAACCCTGACCCCAGGAGCTTAGTCTAATTTTTGTTGTGATGTAGTGAGTGGGTGTTATAGACTTTGAGGCCAGATGAGGTAAGGAAGACAAAGGCTGCTCACAGAAATTACTCAGTGGTGGCATTGACACAGTTTGATGCCTTACTGTTAAATAACTTTTTCTGTCCCTCTAAATATTTTTGTCCCTTTTCAAAAAAACATAGGCTTATTTCCAGAAAATTGAAAACCAGATAAAGTGGCCTTACACATCACAGAAGTCTTTGTGAAAGAGCAAATCTTTAGTGAAAATCAAATTACAACATGAATAAAAAAGAGCAGAAGAAAGCAAGGTGTTATCATAAACTAGGGAAAAAATTTTTTTCAGCAATGTGGTGAAATAAATATAGGTTTTGGCTAGTATTTTTTGATCTGTGTTTAAATCTGATTTTATGCATGTATTTATTTATTTGTATGATAGCACTTTTATTGATTCAAAAAGTATCAAAAATTGTAGTGGGGAATAGATAGTCTGCGTAAAGGCTAATGTGGGGGAAATTGCTATCTTTTATTTAAAATAATTAATTTAATACTTAAAATTGCATTTTATCTTAACTCTTTACAGGTTAGTATGATAGTAGTCTAGAATATTGCAAGGAATTGTCATGCCAAAATTAATCTTATTCCTGCTAGTGTTTAATATGTAATTAATGAACACATCACTGACAGAACTGTTAATTTCCACACCTTTGTCTCTCATACAGAAGGCAGAGCCTAGTAGCCTAATAAAAGGGGTTGTAAATCAAAGACAGCTCAGCTCCACTGGCATTATGATTCACTGCAAAGCTCAGGTTTCCTCCTTCATTCATATAAAATACTGTTGAGGGACTATACTAGTTCATTCTCTGTGGTGCTGTTCAAATATTGGTGTCAAGAATATCTCTGGTATTGCAAACATATCTATGCACTAATAATCTGTTTGAATTCACTATTTTTCTCTTTCCGGAGATGGAGACCACTGTTACTGAGTTTCTCAATATCTGTGTGTAACTCTAACTTCCATTTGACATTTAGTCCTTATTGAAAGATTGGTAGAAGTTTTTTCATTTTTTTTCTGTCCTAGTTAAAGTGGGATTTTAATCTCAATTTGTGGCATAGGGTTTGCCAGGTATTGACCATAGTCTTTTTATCTAGGCACTGAAGTATAGGATTTTCTATGGAATGTAGAGTTCAGGGTCTTTTTCCACATAGAAATGCGTATGCTCTTGGCTTCTGAATTTGCAGACTGCTGACACTGCTACTCTTCGTGGGTTTCC